CTGTCAGTGACAGAGCACTGTAGAGTTAATATTATCTAGTTGATCAGTTAATAGGACTATCATTTAAATTTGCACACCAATCACTAATACCAAAATTGGAGAAACTGAAGATTGATATAAACTTCTGTAATCTGAAACTGATCTAATCTGTAATCAAAATGCACTGATAAACTGCACATTGAAATACAAAAGTTGGAAACAAAAAGGAACTCTAGTTTGAAAACGTGGTCTTAGTGATAGAAATTATTCTGGAGAGCACATGATAGAATTTTGCAAGACCAGTGACTTACTCATTTCAAATACCCTTTTTTTCAACATAAACGGTGACTATACATGAGGACCTCACCAGATGGAACATACAAGCATTAAATTGACTACATCTGTGGAAAGAGATAATGGAGAAATTCCTATCATCAGTAAGAACAAGGCCAAAGGTCAATTGCAGAACAAACCATCAACTTCTCATATACAAGTTCAAGTTTAAGCTGAAGAAAATTAAAACAAGTTAATAACTAAAGATTGACCTTGAGTAATAAACAACCTTCTTATCAATGGAGAAAAGATTGAAGTTGTCAAAGACTTCATTTTTCTTGGGCCAACCATCAACACTCATGGAAGTAGCAGTCAAGAAACCAAACGACGTATTGCATTAGGCAAATCTGCTGCAAAAAAAGTTTCAAAGTGTTGAAGAGCAAAGAAATCAGCTTGAGAACTAAGGTGTGCCTGATCCAAGTCATGATGTTTTTAATAAGCTCATATGCATGCAAAATTTGGAGAGCGAATAAGGAAGATCGTAGAAGAATTGATGCATTTGTGTTATGGTGTTAGAGGAGAATATTGAAAGTACCGTGTGCTGCCAAAAGAACAAACTGATTTGTGTTGGAAGAAGTACAGCCAGAGTGCTCCTTGGAGACCAGGATGGCCAGACTTCATCTCTCAAAATTAGGACATATTGTCAGGAGGGACCAGTCACTGGCAAGGGATATCAAGTTTGGAAAGGTGGAGGATCAGAAAAAAAAAAAGAGGAAGACCCCCAACAAGATGGATTGGCAAAGTGGCAGCATCAGTGGGCTCAAACATGGCTATAATTGTGAGGTTAGCCCAGGACCAAGCAGTGTTTTGTTCTGTTGTGCATAGGGTTGCTATGAGTTAGTACTGACTTGATGGCACCTAACAACAAATTGTTACGTGCTGTTGTGTTGGTCCTGGTCCATAGCAACCCTGTATAGGGCTTCTGAGGAGTGACTGGTAGGTTTGAACCGCTGACCTTATGGTTAGCATAAGTGCTCATCCTACAATGCCACACCAAGATTCCTTGAGTATACCCAACCTGAATTTAGAGACCATCTCAAGATCCTCAGATTTGATGTATTGAAAACCAGTAACTGAAGACCAGAGTAGTTGTGAAATGACATTAAGGACAACACACATGAAGAAAACCAAGTCATTAAAAAGAAAAGAGAGAAAATAGATGTCAGAAGAGACTCTGAAACTTGCAAATTCAAGTCTTCAGTTGCGATACTGAAGGCTTTTATGGATGAAACAGTGAATGATGCAGAAATCCATCGAAAGAAGATGGAAGGACTCCAAGACTGAAACCCAAAGGGAACACATGAGCAGGCATGTAAGATTGCTGGTGACCACGTTGGTCAGCTGGTGAGTGAAACAGGTAAAAAGGCAGCAATAAAGATATGGGCTGACTTCGACCATGTTCCATAGACTACCATCGACCTGGAGATGAGAGAGAGAAGGGCTGGTTGGACAAGGACATAATCACAGAGGGCTAGAGCTGAGTGAAGCATTCAGCTAATATGAAGTGAGGGGAGACGCATAAGAACACCCAAACTTGCATAGTACCCATTCTACCTAGCCTCGATGGCTTGATGATCAGAACTCAACTAGAAGAAGATAAAAAAGCAATTTTTGATAAAGGAAACATGTTCATTGCTACAATTTGATGAACTTGACGTATACTCATAGAGGTAGTAGCTCAAAATACCAACAGAGAGGGAAGGAGTCTTCACATCAAGTATCAATCATATCCCCTCTGTATACAGGGTTGATAGAGAGAAGGGCAACTTAGACATTGGCTACCTAAAATGGGGGCGGGGTGGTGGTGGTAATAAGGGCATGAAGTGATTGGCTTACAAGTTTTTAAAAGGGAGTTTAGTTTTAAAGTGTGCGGGGGCAGGCAGAATCCCCACTGAAAAGTTTTCATCTTGTCTTGACGGGTCTGAGGAAAGGAGATGGTGATAAGATCCATATGATCAGTAGTAAATAATTGTTATCATGACTAATTGCAACTGTCACAACTGTAAAGGTAGAAGTTCTGTAACTAAAAGGAGGGAGTAGTTAACTAATGTTACAGTCCAGGAACAGAGGACCCTAAGACCATCAAGGGAGAAGAGCACAAGCAGAATGTGGGACCCTATCCAGAGAAGCAGCGACACCAGAGATGGAGGCAGAGATGACGACATGGAGAGAGGAAGCAGCTGAGGACTCTAGACTCATGGAAAGTGAAAGGCTGTGTGCTGGCAGCCAGGAGGCAGGCTTGCAGAATGTGCCCTTTGGTTGTTTAAATGATATATATTTCTGAGTGTTTTTGTGTACATCCCCTTCCTGCCCCCACCCCAAGAAAAAAGAAACAAGAGGGAATAGAAGCAAATACTGTTGAATGATGCAGGAAGGAGAATGTAATCATTGCAATGAAACAATGAGTGCAAAACCGATGTTCTCCCATGCAAACTATCACTCAACTCACAATAAAAACTTTAAAAAAAGAAGATGGAAGGAATACTGTACCAAAAAGGGTTGGTCAACTTTCTAGAGGGAGCATATAATCCAGAACCAATGGTATTGCAGGAAGAAGTCCAAGGGGCATGGCACTGAAGGCATTGGTGATAACAAGGCTTCAGATCTAAGACAAAAGCAGAGAATACCAAAATGATATTTGCTTGTGTTTTATTGACTATGCAAATGCATTTGACTTTGTAAATCATAACAAATTATGACATTGTGAAGGATGGGAGTTCTGGAACACTTCATTGTGCTCATGCAGAACCTGTACAGAGACCAAGAAGCAATTGTTTGAGCAGAACAAGGGGATAATTTTGGGTTTAAAATCAGGAAAGTTGTGCATCAGGGTTGTATTCTTTCATCATACTTATTCAACCTGTATGCTGAGCAAACAATCCTTGAAGCAGAATATATGAAGAAGAACGAGGCATCAGGATTGTCATCTGTGATCTACAGATGATACAACTTTGCCTCCGGAGAGTGGAGAAGGCTTGAAACACTGCTGAAGATCAAAGACCACAGCCTTCAGTATGGATTACTTCTCAACATCAAGAAAACAGAAATCCTCACAACTGGACCAATTTGTGGTCCAACAACACTGCAACAGAGAAAATACTGAAGTTGTCAAGGATTTCATTTTACTTGGACCCACAATCAATGCCCATGGAAGCAGTCAAGAACTCAAACGACATACTGTATTGGGCAGAGCTGCTACAAAGCACCTTTTTAAAGTGTTAAAAAGTAAAAATGTCACTTTGAGAACTAAGGTATGCCTGACTCAAGCCATATTTTCATTGTTCTGTTTCACGTGGAAACAGAACAATGAATAAAACAAAGGAAAGAATCAATGCCTTTAAATTATGATGTTGGCAAAGAATATTGAATATACCAGGGACTTGCCAGGAGAAAAAAACAAATGTGTCTTGGAAAAAGTACAGCCAGAATGCTCCATGGAAGTTAGGGTGGCAAGACTTGTTCTCACATAATCTGGACATGTTACCAAGAGAGCAGTCCCTGGAGAAGGACATCAAGCTTAGTAGAGGGGAGATTAAAAGGACAACCTTCAATGATCTGAATTGATGTGGTCAGTGGCTACAACAATGAGCTCAAACAGCGATAATTCTGAGGATGAGGCAGGACCCACAAGTGTTTCCTTCTGCTGAGTCTGAGTGACTTGACTGTACTTAGGGACCCCACCAGGACTCTAAGATAGGGAAAGGGGATCACCCTGTCCTCACTCACCCCCAGCTCTTCTACACTTCAAGCAGCACACACTCTGGCTGGCAACTTCCTCCCTGGGACTGTGGACCTGACAAGGGGAGCCAGCCACCCAGTTCAAAGTGCTGGGGCCTCTGCCACCATCACAGAGGAAACAGGGTAGTGTAGGGATGAAAGGGCAAGGGCAGGTGAGCCAAGAGCCACTAAGGGTCTTGCTTCATTTGGGACAGATATCCGGTTTCCTCTGGTCTCTGCCAGGATTCCGGGGGCTTAAAGGCATGAGTCATAAGCGGGGGGAACTGGGGAGTTCCCAACTACCCAGCTCCAGACAGCCTGGATCTTGGGGTGGTGCCTGTCAAGAGTTAAGGGGGCAGAAGGTGAGACTCCAATGTCTGCAGCTCAGGTTCCTGACCCCTCAGGAGGGCACTCAGAAAGGCAGCCTCCTAGGAGTTTGGGGATTAGGAGGGAACTAGTTTCTCCCTTCTCTCTCAGAGTTTAGGGGTTTGGGGAATAGATGTTTTGAGAATCCCAAGGGAGAGGGAGGGGGTAGTGAGTGGGAAGGGCAGTCTTGAAGCCAGCCTCCCCCCTTATCAGTCTGATGGACTTCAGCCTCCATCACTTCTACCCAGGGCTCAGCTTTCCTCAGTGGTTCTCTTCAAACATCCTGGGGCACTTCAGCTTGGGTGGGGCTGGGGGGTGTGGAGAAGAGGGTTTGAGGGGGACCAGACGTCAAAGAGGAATCAGAGATTCCACAATTTCACAAAACTTTCGCAAACAGCTTTTTGAACCAACCCCCGGGGCATTGTCCTGAACAGCAAATTTGCATAAATCCTAGGAAGTTATTACTAAGCCTTAGTTGGAGCACCAGGTAATTTCCTCCCAGAGTTCTGTATAAAGGGTTCTGTATAAAGGCCTGGTGAGCTGACCCCTGACAAAACCCAGAGTCTGCAGCCCAGACCCACAGCTGAGCCTGCCACCGGAGCCCCATGAAGCTGATGGGTGAGTGTCCATCCAGATTGGGAGAGCTATCTGCCACGGGCACAGAGGAGGCAGTGGCAGAGAGGCTGGGGAGCACTCTGGTTGTGGGACTGGGGGTGAGGGCCTGGTGGGAGTGAAGGAACCTGTGTTCTGAGCCCCCTTTGCCCTCAGCCCTGCTGCTGTTACTCTGGCATAGTACACTCTGGACCATGCAGGACGCCGCCCCCCTGGGCCTGGCCAGCTCTCTACCCCCAAGCTTCCTGCTCAAGTGCTTAGAGCAAGTGAGGAAGATCCAGGCAGATGGTGCACAGCTGCAGGAGAGGCTGGTGAGAGGGCAGTGGGCACTGGAGGGACAGGAGGGACTGGAGGGCGGAAGAGGGAAGACACCAGAGGAGAGGCGTCAGGGAGGGGTGAAGAGGGAGGCACACATGAGGAGGCGCAATGAGGAAAACCAGGAACCCATCAAGAGGGGAAGCTCCGGAATGGGGCTGGGGTGGAAGTGGAGGCACTGAATCAGGAGAGGGCCCAGGGCAATGAGAGGCCAAGAGGCCTGGTGGAATACAGGGCAATGGGGGAGGCCCAGGGAGGTGAGGACTCAGGAGGTAGGGGCAGCCACCCTGGCAGTGGCCCCTCATCCTGCATCTCTCCCCACCCAGTGTGCCACCCACAAGCTGTGCCACCCTGAAGAGCTTGTGCTACTTGGACACTCTCTGGGCATCTCCCAGGCTCCCCTGGGCAGCTGCTCCAGCCAGGCCCTGGAGCTGGTGAGTGTCTGGGGGTAGGAAAGAGAAGACGGGTGCCATACCCCTTACACCTGGGCTCCCCAGATTCCCAGGTTCCAAACTAGAGAGGCCAGCCAGCCTCTAATGCTCATACCCTGTCCCCTTAGACCAACTGCCTGAGCCAACTCCACAGTGGCCTCTTCCTCTACCAGCGCCTCCTACAGGCCCTGGCCGGAATCTCCCCTGAGATCACCCCCACCTTGGACCTGCTGCAGCTGGACGTGGCTGACTTTGCCACCAACGTCTGGCAGCAGGTAAGCATTCGCTGCAGCAGAGCTGGGAGGCAGGCCATGCCCATGCAGCTCACGGGTCTCGGCTGTTCGTTAGGGCTGGGATGGGGGCATCCTGACCCATCTTCACTTCGCCTAGTTGACAGCAGAGGCCAGATCCCTGGACCTGGAAACTGGAGACTTGGGTTCAATTCCCAGTCCGACCACTATGTGATCTCCAGTCTATCAGCTTAGCATTTCATTTGCAGTAATGGCCACAAAGCTGGCCTGATTCCTGACCTCATCTTTCCCCCCACAGCTGGAAGACCTGGGGGTGACCCTCACAGGACCGCCCACCCAGAGCCCCATGCCAACCTTCATTTCTGCCTTCCAGCGCCGGGCAGGAGGTGTCCTGGTTGGCTCCAACTTGCAGAGCTTCCTGGAGCTGGCGTATCGGGCTCTGCGCTACCTTGCCCAGCCTTGAGCAAACCCTTCCCTATGTCATGTATTTATCATTATTTAATATTTATCTTTATTTAAATCTAATATTTAAAAAGGAAAGAGTCCCAGACTTCTAGGCCTTTCCCTCCATCTCCCTGTAGCAGGGAGAAAAGCTCCTGTCATCGGTCCCCTGGGCCGGGGGCAGATGTAGGTAAATACCAAGTATTGATTCCCATGACGGCTTTCGTGCCCAGCGCGCGCTGTGGTGGGTGCTGGGAAAAGCCGCTGTGACGCCCTGCCCTGAGGGCCCCCACCTGGGAGCCCTCGGGAGCACCAGGAGGTCTCCCACGTGGGAGACAAAACATCCCTGTTTAATATTTAAACAGCAGTGTTCCCCAACGGGGTCCCCATCAGCCACACTTGGGCCTCCACTTGCCTTGTGCACCCAGGTCTGCCAGTTGTGCTTACCCTCCATTCCTCTTCCCGTGGGCACCAAATCCTGCAAAGGTGCAGAGTTCGGAAACTCAGCTGGGGACGTGAGCTTTGCTCTTAACAAGTTTTGGGGCATGTTTTGACACCCACAAGCTCAAGGACCACTGATGTTTCTCACATTTTCCGGATGCCGTGTAAAGACTAGAGAGACTGACCACACTGGTCCCTGCCCCACCAGGATCAGGTCTCAAACTCCTGCTACGGCAGGACAAATGGTCACGTGTCCACCTTCCTGGGCTGGGGCTGGGAGGTGGGGGAGGGAAATGGCGACAGGGGCACAATGCAAGAGAGGCTGAAAGGGAATCTCAACTGCACCTCCACCTCTGTTCCCACTTCCCCAGTGTAGCCAAACTTCAGGATAATAAAGTGTTTGTTTCTAGTAAACGTCTTTCTCCTTCTTAGTCCAGCTGGTGCCTGGCCAGGGGCTAACGGTGGTAGTGAGTGGTGGGAGGGGCTGGAGGGAGGGGAAAGGCGGTCCAAGAACATTCAATCCTTTCCCATGTATTTATTTGAGTCTTTACTGTATGCAAATACTAGGTTAAGTGTAGGGACTCAGTAATGGCCAAGATGGACATGGTCCCTGCCCTCATGACACCAAAGCCTAGCAGGGAAGACAGAAGCTACTGGGGAAGGAGAGACAGCTGGGCTCCATCCCACAGCCTACAGGTTGGGCTGACACAGGACTCATTTACTGACTGTCTTCTACAAAACACGAGTCTATCTACTTCACAGTTACCCACAAAGGGAGTATTTTACAGATTAGGGTTCAAGGTAAGACTTCTAGGCTCTGTACTCTTCTCCCTTAGCAAATTCTGTCTCTGACCTGGAGGACCAAGCTCATTCCCAGCTGTCTCTCCTATTGGTCCTATGCTCATGGCTGAAGGTCCAACCTGAGGAGGGAGGGGAGACATGGAAGAGACACATGCCCACCACTGGTGCCAGGCCAAGCTCTTCATACCCACTGGGGTCCTTGTCACCGACACGAGACACAGGGAGGTCAAGAGGGCCAGTTCTTGGTTTCACCATCCTCCCAAGCCTTCTCCATCCTTCAATCCTCAGCCACCTCTCACTGCCCTTCCCCACATAGTTCCCGAGAGCAAGGCTAGAACCCCCAGCTGCACAGTTCAGGGTCTTCCATCTCTGTCTGTTCAGGGACCTGCATGGAGCAGGCAAGGTAGGGTTAAGTAGAGTTCCTGCCCCTCATCTCCCCAGACCTTCTCCAGAGGGGACAGAACAGACTCTGGGCAAGTCAGACTCTGGGTGGGGTGGGGTGGGGTAGGGTGGGGCTGGGTTAGGAACAACCGAAGAACAGGACACCCTAAACCAGCACCAGAGGGGCCTTTAGCCAAAGCCTCTCCCTTCTAGGGATAAGTCCCCCTGGCCCCACCCTGAGCTGAGGGAACAAGCATGAAAACTTGAGCCCAGTCCTTCTGTGCACCTCCTCTTCCTCCACAGGCAGCAAGCAGTATGGGGGATACTGATCAGCAGCCCAGGCAGGCTCAGGCCCTGACAACACTCACAGTTACAAAGGGGCCCAGAAGGATCTTTATTGACAAGTGAGGGATGGCTGGGAACATCCCCTCATGTATAAAAATATGTATGTACACACAAAGCATCTATAAAGCTCCTCCAAACATACTCTTGGGATGCGAGAAGCCAAGAGGGGGGCTGCCCTGAGGCTAAGAAGCCCAACCTCTCATACTCCAGGCACTAGGAGAGGAGAGAGGAAGATGCCAAAGACACCAGGAGATGTCCTAGAGGTCAGCAGCAGAGAAGCAGGAAAAAGATCTAGAAACCAACGGAAGGCTCTTGTATCATGGAGATCTGAGCAATGATGTCTCATCTTTCCTCACTGTTCCCTTCAGAGGCGTCAGGAGCTAGGGACTCTCCCCAGCCAACTCCTGTGGCTGCTCCAAGGTCCTCAGAGGGCTGCAATGGCCTTGGCAGCCACTTGGCGGCCCAGGGGCAGGCTGAGATCTGTGATGGCCAGAACAACTTTGGGGCTGGACATGGCTGACACTTTCACCAGTTCCGATACCTGCCACAAACAGAAATACTAAGCTGCTCACTGGGGCTACCTCATGACAGTTGTGATCTCCCAGAAGGGAAGGAGGACCCCTCCCAACTCTGAAGGTTGGCACTGAACCCCACAACCAGCTTAAGGTGCTGGCCCATCTGAGCTAGAGGCAGGCCCATCCAGGAGCATCCAGAGGTGCTCACCGTGGTAAAGGGCATGAACTGCAGGATGCTGCCCCGGCCACCCTGCTCCAAGCAGTCCACACACTCCTCCATGAACCACTGCACAAACTGGGTGTGGGGGCCCGCCGTCCGTGATCCCAACACGGAGGAAATGAGCAGGAACAGGTTGGCTGTGCAGCAGGAGGAGAAAAGAAGAGAATTCCATGAGAAGGGTTCCACTGAGAGAAGGCGGAGCTGAAATGGGGAAAGAAACAATGCCCCGAACACACAAGAAGGAGGTATCAGAGGCAGCCGAATGAGACAACTGGGGCAGAGCAAGAGGCCCTAAGTGGGAAGTCTTAGGGAGGCAGAGCACTAGCAATTAGGGGAGATGGGAGAAAGAGACAGTGAAATGGGTAGATGAAGGCAGAGGGGCACCAGATGGATCCCCTTCTAGAGGATGTCTCATGCTTCCCACTAAGCAGGGGGTGGGGCTCTTCCCAGCTTGGCCCCCGGGTTTGGGGGAGGGGTAAGAGGGACTCACCCAGGACTCGGTTTAGAGGGTCTCGCATGTTGACAGTGTGAAGCTGGGAGGCCGAGAAGGAGCTGCACATGGATCGGTCAGCTGCGGAAACAGTGGAGAGGGCACTGAGGAAACAGCCTAACACTCAAAACCAAACCGGACAGCCTTCTACCATTGGGGGCTGGAGGGTGGAGGTCAACAGTGTGTGCAGATCCCTGAGAAAACCCTTACGTTGTGAGTCAGAGGGTTCTGTTCAGGGTGATGGAAATTGTGCCTTCAGACAGTGGAGATGGTCGCACAATACTGGATTAAATCACTTATCCTTAACATTCTACAAACGAAGACATTAAGACTCAGAAATACAAAACAACTAGCTAAACATCACAGAGTTTGTCAGTGGCAAGTCCTGCATCTTTCCTCTGCTCAAGCACACAGTTAGTCCTCTAGTCACTAAAGAAACTTCTAGGCTCAGAAAAAATCTCTGGGAAAAAAAAAAGTAACCGCCACAGAAAGAGCCCTTGGCAGAGAGACGAGTACAGCAGGAAGTCTGGGCTGGGGCTGGTGTGGGGGGCGGAAAGTGCGAAGACAACGAAGACAACACAATGACTTCTAGGGAAGTCCAGGGCCCGGAGGAGTGTTCTTCAGGCAGGAAGAGTCGGGAGTAGCCCCAAGGCTGGTCTGGGCCTGCTTCAGGTGCTCAGGATTGTGTGGAGGAAGGAAGGTGCTCGTCTGGGTAGCTTGTCCTTCTCTCCACCATGTGACAGAGTAAATATGGAGGAGTAACATATTGGGGGGGGGGGGAGGGCTCCTTTTCTGGGGTCTGAGAAGAACTTCAACCCTTAGGGAAAGACCAACCATTTTTCCAGGGGTAGGAAACGGAACACCCCCTTAAGAATGGGCTAACCCCTGCCACACCCACCCTGACCAGTCATCAAAGACAACAGTGACTGGGGAGTCATGGAGCAGCCCTGCAGTAGGAGGCAGGCCAGGCCCTGTCAGACTCACTGGGGCTGGAGAGGATGTTGGTATCCTCCTCATTGGAGCTCAGCAGGCGCATCAGCTTAGACGGCTGCATGTCATCCAGTGGGAAGAGGCTGATATAATCCTGGAGGGCAGCACTCACTCAGACCCAGCCTGAGCCAATGGGGAAGAGCCACCCAACCCCCTCCCCACCACACACACACACACACACCATTAGTCAGCAAACCCGGGGGTCCCCTTCTCTCTTGTCTCATTCCCTTCTCTTTGCCCCTCTATAAGTATGGCAGGACCCCCCCACCCCAGAAATGGCAGTCTGCAGCCCCTTCTTCTGATATGACCCCTGACCACCTAAGCAGCAGAGTCCCTTACCTCGATGTCTTCACGGTGTCTCTTCTTTTGGCGGGAGGATGCCTGTCCCTTGTGGGATGAGTAGGAACTCAGGGCACACCATACAGCTAGCCTGGAGAAGGGTTCCCAGGGAAAAGGTTAGCAGGGACGACTGTGCCTGTACTGATCAAGCCCAGCTTCTTGGGGTGATACCAGGCAAGGGCAGCCTGGGTCTATGGGACAGGGATAGGAGGTCCCAGGGGGTGGAAGCAGAGCAGGCTCTGAAGCAGCCCCTACTTGGCAAGAGCAGTGCCTGGGGGATCCATGAGGCTGTGCCACTTGGAGGAGTCGGTGAGCAGGCCTGGCAGGATGTGGCCCAGCAGGACCAGGGTCACCTGCTGCATGTCCAGACAGAAGATGGAGTAGAGAAGCTCCACTGCCCGCAGCGTGTGCTCCTTCCGGGTCTCCTTCAACAGCTCCTGGACGGGCAGGGCAGGGGATGCCTGTCACTCCAGCCCTTCGGCACCTCTCTCGGAGCAAGCAGCTCCCCCAGCCTATCTGTCATGGTTACTTCTCACAGCTTTTAGCAGGGGCTAATTAACAGCAACCTCTCAGGAGAAGCCTGGCTAAGAAGGAAGAGGATAAGCCCAGGTTTGGTCCATCAAGTATTTTCTCAGATGTCTCCCTGGGACTGAGGATACCTGCTCCCCCAGCCTACCTGACCCACATCAACGTACCTTAATCAGGTTGTTGCAGAACCAGTAGCCGCCGCCCATGTGCAGCAGGGTGTCAAAGATGTGAATAGAACGGCTGTCCACCCACCCCTTCTCCAGCACCTTGGCAAAGATATCTGTCAGCACCTCCTTGATGGGTCGCTTGGGGGGCAGCAAGTTCCAGTAGGGCATGGTGTCCACACCCGTGGATGGGAACTTGACCTGTGTGGCCGTCTGCTGCAGCACGTCAGCACACATATGCTCCAGGATGGAGCTCATGATCACCACCCTGGGGGCAGAGAGCACCATGCCAGCATGGGAAGGGTACAGAACCAGGCCAGACTTCCCCTCGGCTTGGCATACGGAAGTAGTCCTGAGGAATTTACCCTGGTCTGTGCCAGGGAGGGGACAAGAGGAAGTTGCAAAGCCCTAGCCGACGTGACCCCACCTCCTGCTCCTGGCAAGACTCTCACCTGCCATCAGAGAGGCTGGGGGACTTCCTCCCCAGGTCATGCCAGCAGCACACCAACACTTTCTATTGTCTTGACACTCTCCTTTTCCTGGGGCCCTGCCAACTCTCTGACACACATATAAATCCAATCACTTCCCCCTGGGCGGAGTGCTGGGGGTCCCCACCCAGACCTGGCCTCTACCCAAAGTAAACAGTAACTTCCAGGCGAAGGGCCTGAGGGCTGCCCCACAGGACTCTTCCCGCTCCTTGGTAGCTGGGTAAATCTCAGTGTATGTCCAGGAATTTTATAGGGAAAAGCCTCCCACTATGAATAGAGACCTGGGTCTGCGTGCTAACCACGCCTGCTGTAGGCTGGGAGGCCCTGGGGAAACTGCTATGACTTTCAGAGCTACTTTTTCCACCTGCATGATAGAGCCGAGGATTTTCCGCTATTCCTCACTCAGTTAGGACTTAGGGTACCTACAGTGGATGATGTCGTTCCAAGCATTCTTTTGCATGGAGGGAGAACAGAAAAGGAGGAGGCAAGCGGAAAACAGGAAACATGATTTTACTGACCCTCTTCAAATCTCACTTAACCTAAACATTTCAACTTCTTCTTTTTAAGACATCTTCCACAGATCCTTATGAAAAGTTAATCAAAACTTATTGGTGGGTAAATGAACCAACACCAATGAACTCAACACAGCTGAGTTCACTAAGGGAGGTCCTCCAAGCCCCTACAGAGCCAAGGCAGGAAAAGGTCACTCAGACAGCTAGGAAGGAGGGAGAGGCCCAAGGCCCATAAAATCTACAGCTGGGTTCACAGCTCCTAGATAGCGATACAACTAAGAGAATTGCTTTGCTCTTCTAGAGAGCTGGTTCTCCAGAACCTGAGCTCTTGGAGAGCAGGAACCACAGCTCTCTGAGGTCCACATTTCTGGCACCATGACACATGCTAAATGTTTGTGGAGTCAGAGACTGAATATGTGAATAAAACAAGGAGAGAGGAAGGGAGCTAGGGAGCAAGGAGGCAATTAAGCAGCGTGTTTGAGAAGGTCAGAGAAGAGAGGGATACTGGTTACAAGCCTGACTGACTTTTCATGGCAGACCTCCGGGGTTCGAAGAGGGAGAGGACTGACCTCTCATTGTAGAACTGTAGGGTGTTCTCACTATACAGCGGCCCTGCCAGCTGCCGGATCATCTGCAGCGATTTCTCACGCTCGTCCAGTCCCAGCATCCGGACGTGGGCCACAAGCCAAGCCACCGCACACACTGCCAGGCTGCATACCTTTCCCTTGATATTATCTGTGATTTTCTAGGGGAAGGGGAAAGAGAAAGGGAGACAGTAGCCCTGTCACTCTCTCCCCTTCTCTGGCCTTCATTCTCTCTGACCTCTGTGGGCAGCTAAGTGTAGCAGGGGGAATCTTAGACCACATTCCACACCTTTCTCACCACGACTTTGGTTTTCCAAAGGGAATGGCTAAGACTAGGATTCCTGAGAGGATCAATAATAAAACATGAACTCTCGCTCTTCCTGTTATTTACAAAATTATCTCTGTGTCTCAGACAAGAGCAAAAGAGCTGGACAGGTGGTGCTGAGAGAATGGACTACCTGGATTGACTCGAAGGCCAGTACCCCATTCTCCCAAGCATTGAGGATTTCCAAGATGGCCGCTGAGATGCTGAGACAGGCTTCATGCCACTTCATCTGCCTACAAGTTAAGGAGGGGTGGGAGAAAAATCACCACAGGGAAGTAGGGGATGAGCTAAGAAGAAAGGGTCTGGGTCCCTGCTCCCAGAACCACCCTTGGAGTGGGGTGCCCAGGTCACTGACACCAGCTTCATCTCTGAGGAGTTATTGAGCAGGGCCACCAAGGATTCCACTTTGGTGGAGTCTGGCCGGAAGCAAGGGTGGTCAGGGTTCAGGATTTTGCCTTCCTCAGGCATGCAGGTCTGCATCCAGGTCTCAAAGAAGGGCACCTCTGCTCTTGTGCTTGACTCTGACAGAATCACCTGGGAAAGGGGACACAAAGAGGCACCAGCCGAGTCGGGAGAACTCAGCACCTACCAACTGGTACCTCAGTTTTCTGCCACGCTGCTTCTCCTTCCCCAGACTGAAGAAATGGGGACAGATGGGTTTACAAGACGACAGAGGCTATGCTGCCATCTAGTGGTTAGTTTGAATGTGCACTCAAAGAATCTGGGTGGGACCCAGGGGCATCCATTTACTTTGCCCAAGGTGGGCCTCTATTTCTGAACTCAGCAAAATCAATCGCCTTGGTAACTAGTATAGGGGAAGGCAATGAGGCTAGGGAGAGTTACTGGTTGCTTCCTTCCCCTTTACTTCCACCCACTGGGTCCCCCCTAATGAGCTGACAGGAGTCCTGGTGTGGTGCTGTAGGCTAAGCACTGGGCAACTAACCAGCAGCTCTGAAGTTCCAACCCACCAGGCGCTCCTCAGAAACTCTATATAGGACCGCTGTGAGGCACCTAACAACCAGCAGCACCACAATAAGCTGACTGCTCTTCTGGCACTCACCTCTGAGCCGTAAGTCTGGGCCACGTGGCACAGCATGAGGAAGGAGATGTCAAAGAGCAAGGCACGAACTGAAGCTGCTTTGGCTGTGGGAAGGATAAAAAGCTGACCCCTTGGTCTAGAGCAGGTTCCAGAGCCTTATCTGGATTGAGAAGGTATCAGAGTTTGCCTCAAGAAAGGTCAGGGACCAAGTGGCTCTTTCAAAGCTCTGAGGCTCAGGATCCTTTTCTTGAGACTCAATTGGAACATCATTCCTTCCTTGAAGTGAAGACTCTTAGTACCTCCTTTCTCCAGTACCCAACCAAATCATAAAGTAGGGGGACAGGGACACATGGATGGTTTTAGGTGAAGACTTTCCCAATAGCACCCTCTTTAAGGTTCCTCAAAAGCTTCCTTTAGTCATCGCTCAGGGGAGGATACAGCATGACTTCCCCGCTAACAACAACTGTGCCTCCCTCCAGGCCCCAGCGTCCACACCAACTGGGCTGGAGATGTGCAAAGTGAACTTACTGCTTTCTTCGCTGCCATGGGTCGTGAATTCATTCAAGCTGGGGAAGGAAAGAAGACAAGTCACATCAACCAGGGCAAGAGATGAGCAACAGCTAGGGGCTGAAGGTGGTCACGAGTCTGCGGTAGAGGCTCAACATGAAATGAACACCAGGCCAACAGAAAAGAAAAAAAAAAAAAAAAAAAAAGACTTCTTTTTTTAAAAGATTTCCAAGACCTAGACATGGCTTGCTGAATAAAACAATGTACTATACATCAATTTTAGGCCAACCAAAAAAAAGTCCAGCGTTTAAGAACCCTTTATTAACACTGGGCATACGCGGAGCTCCTCCATACCACTGTTTAATACCTTGTCACCTTATCAACCACCTCTACTTTACCCTCAGTTGAAGAGAAATGAGGACTTCCTCCAATGGCCTCAGCTGGGATGCTCAGGCAGAACCAGACTCAAGTGTCTCATCCTATCCTGCTACCTCTTCCCTTCAGATATCCTCCCCACTCTGGCCAGGGGCATGTCTTCCTTACTTGATGAATTTCCGGGCAAAGGATTTCAGCTTCCCAGTAGCGGCAGCAGCAGCCAGCAACAAGTCCAGACTCTTCCCAGACAGCATATGGCCCAGGACTCCCAATAGCCCCTCTGGGGACTTGGAGTGGTCAGCATCCATCGTCTGGGAACAGGACAGGAAATCAAGTCCTGAAGAACACACTGAAGATCCCCTCCCCCCGAGACACAACCCAGCTACATTTTCTCTCTCTGTAGGTCTCTAGTCAATAAGATATTATGACCTGTTCATCCACATCTTTCTGACTCAAATCTAGAAAATCATTCCTAAAATCGACTTTGCTCTCTGATGCATCTCTGTCAACAACACTGGGGCAGAAGTCACTGCTATGAGATTCTTTATCGTTTCCACAAGAGATGATATACCTATCACAATGCTTGGTATACGAGGAGTGCCCAACAATGCTAGTTTTCAATGGTAGCTTCTCCCTCCTTCCCCCTTTCTCTACTTCCACTTTTAAGCAACTAAGTATAAAAGGCAGCTGAGAGAAGCCTAGGTCTTTTTTTTTCTCTGGATGTGGGAAGAGGAGAGAGATGACCCTGGTGGTAAGGGACGGGCACACTCACCTTGAGGATGTTGGTAACTGTGGGCTCTGCCCGGAGGATCAGCCCAGGATTGGGCTGGATGTTGGCATTTTCTGCTGATTTTAACTGGGGCGCATGCTCCCGGTCTGCTGTGCTGTGGCCATAACCAGTTGGTGAAGAGAAGGAAAACGAAGAGGGATAAATTCTTAACACACTCCCAAGTTCAAGCCGAGAAGCAAAGGCACAGAAAAGGTGGGAAGCATTTCCATCAATTCATCATTAGTCATTGTATCTATTTTGAAAGTTCACTGAAGATTTAAGGGAGGATTAGGGTTTTTGTTTTGATCACAAAGGAGGGCATGAATTAAAAAATAAAAGTATAAAACTATGGTATGAAAAGACTGTTGTCTGTCTTTTCCCTCTTGTTCCCTGTAACCCTAGGCATGGTCCCAGTTATTGCAACCTAAACTCTAGACAGGCAGGAAGGGGTACCCAGCAGTGAAGTCTGGCTACTCGAGAGGAAAGCCCAGGGGTCTCTGGGACCACTGTCCACATGAGTTCACACTTACCGCTTAGACACCAGGTTGGTCTCACTGGCTTCTGACAGAAGCCCCTGCTTGCTGCATTCTTGAAGTAGGAACTTTGTACAATCACAGCTGTGAAGGTAAAAATCAGGGAACAAGGTACACAGCTGGGAGTCTGAGGAATGGGTGTAATGAGTCCTGCTAGTATCCACCCCCTTCAGGATGAGGGAACCCTTGAGTGCCTGAGGGAAGGTAGAGGGGCTTTGCTGCCTCCTGCCACTGCCAAGGAGAGTGAACAAAGAAACACAGTCTCCTGAGCCTTCATCTGGCACAGAGGAAGAGCCCAGAACACCTGCCAGTAGAGTCAGGGTAAGCAGGGGAGTTCATACTTGCAGCGCTGATCCGCTTTGTCGAGTAACGGTGTGAGCTTCAGCAGGAACTCAAACGCACAATTAACGTCCTCAGTGAAGTCCTACAAAGAGTCAGAAATTTCCATCTGGCTTCTAGCTCCTCGACTCTTAAGGACATCCTGCCCTGCAGACTCCCAAGCATAGCTTTGTGGGTATATAGGCCCACAAGGGGGCCATGGCCACCACTGGCGAGTAGCTGGGTGGGGAGACACATCGAGGCAGCACTACCGCCTACGTGGCTACCCTGACCCAGGTCATCTCAGGCTTGACCTTAGCCCCTGGAGAAATGGTCTGAGAGGTCCAACTCCTTGCATTAGGAGATTAGGGGCAAGTGCAGGGACGCATGCAGATGCTCAGGGATACACATACTTCCAGACTTGCCCTAAGCAAATGCACACACTACTGCCTGGCTTGGGGTCTAAACAACCCTTCCCTTGGCTTTGTTCCTCCTCAAACTCCATAGCAGCCCATCTCATTTCTTCAACTCACCTTGTCCCCGTGAGAGTATTTCTTCAGCTTCACCAAAACCTGTGGAATCTGGGGGATGAGGAAGGGGGACAAACAGAAGACCAATTTCTTCTCTCTTTCACCTAGAATTGAAGCAACCCCTCTTTCTCCCCGTTCTAGGCAGAAACACAGGAACGCTCCTTCTCAAAGGGAAACCACTCTTAGAGTGGAATCACGAAGGGGAGAGGTACGCACGTGCCTGACACCCCTCAGCCTACAAGTCACAGACTCAGTCATTTCTGTTGCTTTAAAAGTGAGCCCTGGGCTCAAGAAGGTCCAGGGCCCACTGTCCCCAATTCCCTTCATTTTCCTGCTCTGCACCAGGGCTGCTGATGACTGAGCTAAACAGCACCTCCACAGTCAGAAACAACAGAGTCCTGTCAAGTGGGTTAAACATAGCTCGAGTCTCTCAGAGGAGAGTGGATAGGAACTCATGCTGGGGGACCTGGCAGGCTGGGCATGATGCCAGCAGGGAGAACCATGGGCAGAGGTCCCTCGTGTCATTGCTTTTCCCGAGAACCATTCCTGGATTGGCTCTCTGCTCCCTCACCCCTAGGTACCTTGAGGAAGGTGAAGGCCGTCCACTTGAGCTCCTCCGTACCCTCAGGGGACTCAATGAGCCCCACAAAGCAAGCTTTCCAGATCTCCAGGACAAAGAGGGGGGTGGGAATGTGCTGTGGAAAGACCCAGGGGTGAGGATAAGAGGGTGGCCCACAACTCTTTCACCCTTCTGAAGGCTCCCAGAATCAGGGTCCCATATGGCACAGCTGAGAATGAGGCATATACAGTGGAGGACAATACCATGCAGGACTAGGGCCCCTTCCACAGGAATCAAAGAAACCCTGTCCCCAAGAAGGATCAAAACAATGCCCCCTTTTGCCCGCAAATGACCAGCCCATCTTAAGAAGCAGCATGTGATGCTGTCCCCTCCCACCTGCATGCGTTTCACCATCATCAGCTGCTCCACCAGGGGCTGTGTCTCGCCTGTCAAGTTCATGGTTCCCTCAAGCAAGACCACCGCATGGACCGTGGGGAAGCCAGTCTTGTGCAGCTGCTCTGAGTGTACAGACAGCATTGTGGGAATGCTGAGGGGAACAAAACAAGTGACATGTTTGGGAGCTGAGAGAGGTGGAGGGAAGGTGAGAGCAGAAGGGACAATGGGACCTGGAGCCACACCTTGGCAAGCACACCCCTCCCTCTCCCTTCAGCGGGTACCTCCTAATGAGTGTGCCACACTGCTCAGCCTGGCTCCGTAGCTGGGCATTACTGAGATTGGCCAGGATCTCCCCAAGCTTCAAGAGTGAATGTTCGATGGTAGTCCATGAAGCTGGTGGGAAAAGGAAATGCAGAAACATGATGGCAAACAGAGGAGAGCTAGAGACTGGCCCCAAACTCCTCCACTTTGGCACCCTCTGGACCCATGAAACCACACAGGGAGGTGTCACCTGAGAATGACTTGGAGGCCAGGGACCTAAGGGGCAGCATGCACTTTTTCTAGAGGGGGTGGTGAACATACATGGCTAAAGTCCCGAGAAATGATTTCTAAAGGCCTGACTGCAAGGGGACACACTCAGCCACATGTCCCGTCAGAGACTGACCCTGGCCTGACACAAAACAGTGGGAGAGGCAGAGGGAGAGAAGAGGAGCCAGTGGCTAGAGCAGGGAGGATATCAGATATCCACAAACCACTCCAGAAACAGACCAGTCCAAAACGCCAACCTTGCAAGCAGCCCTCACTTTCCACTCTAGTCAGGCTGTGTTCCTGAGTGGCCTGCCCGGGCTCGACCACACCCTCATCTGCGCCTTGCTGCTTGCTGCTTTTCTCTTTGAAATGCCTTGCCCACTCATGTTCAGTTCTCAAAATGCCACCATCCTTTCCATCTTTGTTGGAGCCTCAGCTCTTTAACAATTTACCCACTTCATCTAGACCTCTGACCTCTCTCTAAATGCCTGTACTTGTATTTTGCATTGTGGCACAACTATCAATGATAAGGCACTGGCCCTAGTTACAACTCCAGAGAGTCAAATGGTGACTACTGGCACCAACAAGCCACTAACCTTCATGTAGCACAGGAAAAAAACAAAACAAAAACAAAAAGACAAGACCTGAGAGCCATTAAAATTCTTTTCAGCCAATAAACATTTAGCAAGAAACTGCCAGCCTTTTTATATAGTGACCATCTTTCTGGAAATCATGAGCAATCAAATGTGTTTTGGGAATAAACACAATAACCTTGTTAACAAGTTCTCCAACCAGGTCCTGAAGGCCTGAGTATGTTCCGGCATTCTAGTAACTGGAGAGCAAGAGACTCTTAGGTGGTCCCAAGCCATGGCAAGATTGTGACCTTATGGTCCTCCATCCAGAAGTATCAGTCTTCCCTCCCACCAGTCATTGTGTCTACTCTCAGGCTCTGGAAAGTTCCAATATTTAATCTCTGATCTTTAGTCAGGAGGTGTATGGCACACCAGGCCTGATAGCAGACATTATGGTGTTTAAAGGGATGTCTGAGGTAACAAATAAGAGGCATGTGCTTTCAAAGGATGAGTAATAGGAAGGGCCTATGTGCTTGCCCTGTCCTCTCATTTTTTTCCATATATATATATATGGGCTAGTCTTGCTCCCCAACTAGCAGGTATGCTTGTTGAGGGCAGGGACCCTGCCACATGCTTCTTTGGTACCCCCCTCCCCCCATCCCCAGCACCTGGCACAGTGCTGGGCATATAACAATGCTCAGTAAATACCTGTTGGTTGATTGGCTCGGGTGCCACCCTGCCCAAGTCCCTGGGATGTATGCAATGCTTATGGGGAGAAAAAAAAGGAAGTGGGATGATTTCAGATCCTCCTGGAAAGAAGTGGGATGGCATCGTGCCTCTCCCCTCTCAATTAAAGGACTGGCTACGGAACAGTGGCAGGTGGGGCTCAGGGGACATACAGGCCTCCTCGAGTTTGGCGATGTGGAGCAGCGCCCGGTTCTTGGTGCTGCTCAGAGTCTTCTCCAGCCGCTGCAGACACATCCCCAGCTGCTTCTCCCCGGCTGCTGGGGTGCCCGCCTCCAGCCCCTCCCGGACCCGTTCTGCAGAAGCTGCAGTACAGCGCAGCAGCCAGTGGAGGGCGCTGAGAAGGGCTCGACACAGCCCAATGCACTCTTCCGCTTTGCCATGACAACTACAGGAAAAGGATGCAAAACCCATCTTTGCCTCAGGGGCTGAAATCTGAGCCACACCTAGATCCCCTTGAGTCCCTGGCAATCTCCTGCTAGGGGACAGAGTTGGGAAGCCCAGTCCAGTGTGCTTCCACTGGACAAGATTTCTACTTCAAACAGAAAGGAGGCATTTTATGCTAAAGGAATCAGCAGAAAAGATGGGGTTGGGTAGGTGGGACTGTGGGAACTCACAGAACTGGTCTCTCTATGTGCTAGAAGCTTCTTCTCTACGCTAAGACAATGCCAAGTAAGCCTCTTCACCCCTGCCCTTACCTCAGACGGTCACAAAACATGTCCATGATGTCCAGCAGTGCCTGGACACACAGGTCCCGGGAAAAGTCATCAAACTGCAGAAGAAACAATGGAGATGCTATGGAATGTCCCAGACCAGCCACAAGTCTCACACATGAAGCAGATGGTAAAGTTCAGAATTCCTGCTCATCTTTCCTGCAAGTTTCAGATTCAGCATCCTTTAGACATTAGAAATTGACTCCTAATTGCCAGTCCCCTCTTCCCAGGATCCCCCTCCCTCCAACAGAAGGAGAGCGGTCCAGGAGGGTCCTGTCCCTCACTGCCACTTCTGTCCTGTTCCCCACACCTAGCCCAGGAGTGGCTATGGTCATACCTTACTGATAGCTGTGAGGACAGAGGAGTAGGACACCATCTGGAGGGAAGGAAAAGAGATAAAAGCACTGGCTTACTTCATGTTCAGACAATCAGTGCCCATAGTAGAAAGGAACCAACACTGAGGCTTAGTGTTGCTGCAGCTCTTCTGTATCCTCAAGCCCCCCAAGGGGTTTCCTCCACTCAGCAGGAGATCCAGGAGCACTAGCTAGGCATCACTCCCCAGTCCTTCTTCTATCAAAGTCTCCAGACGACCCATTTGTATTTAGGTAAGAACTAGACAGAAACATTTCCTGCACTAATATTTCAAGGCAGCAAATGTGTTTATACAAATTCTTACTCATTCCCTAGGGCTTAGTATACCTTCTCAGGACACCTTCCCTGATCAATTTGTACCCCAGTCTCCCTGCCAAAGCTGAAATCCTTCGTCATTGCTCCAAGTAATTCCCTTATACCCACATCACATTCCCCACTATAATAGGACCTGTCACCCCCACTAAATTTGGAGCTTCTTGACCATAGGGAGTCTTGCACAGTGACCACCAGAAACGCCTTAATGTTTGTAGAATACATAAAACATGCCCTTGGATCAACATTTCCCAAAGTATCTTCCAAAGCCACACTGTCTCATGGGGAAGTCATTAACCACATGTGGATGGCTTTAATTTAATTAAAATGAAAGAAAATAAAAAATCCATTTGCTCAGTCATACTAGCCACATTTCAAGTGCCCAAATGGCCATATGTGGCTAATGGCTACTGAAGTGGACGACACAGATTCAGAACATTTCTATCACTGCATAAAATTCTAAATTCCAAGTTTCCTTAGGATATCAAAAGATTTTACACACACACCAAACTTCTGTGGGAAATGAACATGAGAAACACTGGACTAATTATATAGACCAAAATCATTTGCCATCAAGCCGATTCCAACTCATGGAGATTCCACGTGTGTCAGAGTAGAACTGTACTCCAGAGGAATTTCACTGGCTGAGTTTTAGAATGAGTTCACCAGACCTTTCTTTCAATTGCCTCTAGATGAACCTGGACCTGCCAACTTTTTGGTTGGTAGCCAAGCATGTTAACCATTCGCCCCATTGTTTTTGTTGTGAAGTGCCCTCGAGTTCGGTTCTGACCCATAGTGACCTTGTACAGGGTTTCCAAGGGGCAACTGGTGAGCTTGAACTGCCAACCTTGCAGTTCAAACGGCTTTGCAGTCTGGCGCATTAGCCCACAGCGCCACACCAGGACTCCTATGTTGTTGTTGTTGTTATGTGCCATCGAGTCGGTTCCGACCCATAGCGACCCTGTATAGGGCTTCCGAGGGTGTAAATCTTTACGGGAGTAGAAAGCCTCATCTTTCTCCCGCGGAGCAGCTGGTAGTTTCGAACCGCTGACCTTAAGGTTCGCAGCCCGATTCGTAACCACTACGCTACCAGAGCTCCTTATAGCACCTTCTTTATCAGAGGACTTCTTAAGAGCTACAATATGCTTGTACATGATGAAAATCTCAACTTCATCTGAGTAACTCACCAATATTTCCAAAATAAGTTTTAGGAGATTCTACCTGAATGGTGCGGCGCTGTGGGTTAATGTGCTGGACTGCAGAATCGGTTTGAACTGCAAGGTTGGCAGTTCAAGCTCACCAGTTGCTCCTTGGAAACCTTATACAGGGTCACCATGGATCAGAACCGACTCGACAGCACTTAACAACCACCTGAATGGTGAGCTAGCTCCCTGGAGACAAAGATAGTATTGAATTCACATGTTTCTCTAAGATATACACTGTGGACTGCTAACTTCAAGGTCAGTGGTTCAAACCCATCAGTTGCTCCTTATACACCCCAATATAGGGTGGTACTGAGTAGGAATCGACTTGACTGCACTTAACAACAATAAACGCAGCACCTAACCCAAGGCCTGGCACACAATAGGTTCACAGTAAGTTTCTACTGCTTTGAATCGATGAAGTCTATTAACTAGAGGAATTCTGAAAAATACTAGTTGTAGAAAATTTCTGTTAATAAAACCTATTCATCACCATCATAAGATTAGAGATCCATTTCACAAGAAAAAAATAATTTGCATTGAATGAAATTTAACCTTGAAGAAATCTTTTAAGTTGTCATATTAAAAAAAATTATTATAGTAAGCTGAAAATAATATGTCAAAAAGTTACAATGGTGTGCTGAAAATCAACAGGCAAAATACCCAAAATAGGAAAGCAGAAGACAATGCAGAAATTGTCAGGATTATCACCTCCCTCCTGGGTCGCCTCAGCTAGAAGAGCTGTTGTTGTTAAGTGCCACTCAGTCGGTTCCAACACACACCGACCCTGTATAGGGTTTCCAAGGAGCGGCTGGTGAGCTTGAACCACTGAACTTGCAATCCCTAAAGCTTTCAGAAAGCTAAGCCAGCCCCAGTGACCTTAACACGGCAAATTTTACTTGCATAATAATTCCTTCCATGTACAATTTCTTCATCAAGCTCTTGGTTCAGACATCGTTAACTTGGATGAACAGGAGAAAAAAAGTCCTAAATACACAATGAGAGTTTAGCCCCACTATCAGCAGACATAGTGTGAAGCTGTAGCTAGTGTCTGACAGTCATCAGAGAGTTGGGAGACTGCCTGTGCAGGATGACCGTAACGTTCCAGAGAAGCGTTTGTTTATTTATAACTATGTCCCCATAGCAAGAGCTTGGCAAAGAACTGAACCTTGTTAGATACCAACCTGCAGGGGGAGCTGGGTGTTCCTAACTTCTTGTTGTTGTGTGCTGTGAAGTCAGTTCTAACTCAGAGCGAACCTGTATAGGGTTTGAAGGACTAGAAACCTTCCTCCCTCGAAAAAAAATCCAAACCCAAGGCCACGGAGTCAATTCCAACTCAAAGTGACCCTATAGGACAGCAGAACTGCCCCATAGGCTCCCAAAGCTGTAATTTTTATAGAAGCAGACTGCCACGGCTGTCTCCCGCAGAGTGGCTGATGGGTTTGAGTGCTTTAACCACTGCAACATACGCTCCCACTAGAAGCTGACCCCAAACTATTACACAGAAACTCAAAATTTTGTGTGTTCTGAGGGATTCCCTGGAGACATATTTCCAAATGACTTTCTGGTCTTCACATTCAAAATTCGGTTAAGTAAATTTGTATTAACCACATCAATAAAATACTTTTCACATGGTGAGCTGTTTTTCACAGCAGAAATACCCTATCCCAGTGTTAATAATTCTATCAACATACAAGTGCTAAAGCACAAGCCCCCAGAGATAAGGCCTTTTGTGTGGCCCGAGGCACACGTGCCATGCCCAGACCCAGGGACAGTGACAGAATGCAGCTGTAGCTGTCCTCTAATCCGCTCTACTCTTCTTCCTATTCAACAACTCTCTGAGTGCCCTCTGTGTGCATAACACTGGACCAAAGAGCCTCTTGACTCTGGAGGAAGAAGAAGTTACTAATTTTTCATGACACTACAGGTCACCCAGTTCTTTCACATACACCTATGCATTTATTTCTCTGTCTGTTCAGTCTCTTCCCCCCGCCCCCACCACCACATGCTTTTCCCATTGACAACTATATATCTCAGGATTCTTCTGTTTTTAAAAAACTTCCCACAGAACCTCACATTTCCATTTAACCATCACCCTCTCCCTCCTGCTCTTCATAAACATGAGCATTCTACACTCATTGTCTTTACCTTCCCACTTTCCTAAGCTGTGCTAGCCACTCCAATCAGTTCTGTCCTCAGCACCCCATGAACCAGCTCATTAAGGCCATCAGCACATTCTTGTTGTGAAACTCAATGAATACATCTCAGTTCTAATCTTACCTCACCTCTCAGCATGACACCACAAAAACATCCCTCATTCTTCATTCCTCTTTTCCCTTGGCTCTTCTGATATCATACTCTCTCTCTCTCTCTCTCTCTCTCTCTCTCTCTCTCTCTCTCGCTTTTCTTTTCTCCTCTCTGCTCTCTCCTTGTCAGATCTTTTCCTATCACGTGTTCTATATACATGACTGGTTCCTCCGGAATGCACCTCAGTCACTTCTGTGTTCGCTCTCTACTTCTAAGGACAGCTCAGCCATGCCCACAGTTTCAGCTGTTTCTGCAAGTGAATTTTACTGGCACACAGCCTGGTCCATTTGTTCATATACTGTCTGTAGATGCTTTCACGCTGCAATAACAGAGCTAACTAGTTGTGAAAGAGATTGTGCCACACACAAAGTGAAAATATTTACTATCTGCTCCTTTACCAACACAGTATGCCAGCCCCTGGACTAAAGGTCTCCATAGTCTTACCTTTCTCCAACTCATTATTCAAAGTATAGTCAGTAACAAACTAAAATTAATCTACAAATTCACCAAATTAATCTACAAACTCAAGGAAATCCCAATCAAAACAAATAGGATCTTTAAAAGAACTTAACAAGTTGATTCTAAAATTTGTCTGGAAAAAGAAATGCCTGAAAGCTGTCAATAAAACAACTGAAAGATAAAACAACTAAGGGAGTACTTACTCAACTAGGTATCAAAGCGTACTATATGTGGAAAGAAAAAAAAAAAAAACACAACATACTATAAATGGGCTATCCTAATTAATTGGCCTAATAACATGTTTAGAACTTCTGTTCTACCTCCTAGTTCACTGCCTAGGTCCTGGGGTCTTCAAAGCTTACCCTTGGCAATCCTGGCACTGGAGGGCACAGTAATTGGTCTCTATA